AAAAAAAAAAAAAAAAAAAAAAATCCCCGTGGCCTCGGAATTTGCTCCCTTCCCCGGCGTCCCTCCTCGCTGGCTCTCCCCCAAATGGGGGGGATGGACCCGCTAAAAAGGGCTCCCCCGCGCTCTCTGCTTTTTCCTGTCCTCGCTGTACAACGACCCTCGTGAGGGGCAATGAAAAAACTCCCGGTAACCCCCTATTATTCTTCGCGCCACAAAGACCGCGGGAACGCCCCTCGGGACCCGAGGCCGCGCGGGCGCCCCGATCCTTTGTGCGCCTGGGGCGCCCGCGCCCCGCAGCTTCGCTCGGGAGCTGCGCGCCCGGGCGGGGCAGGGGGTGCACATGGGGACTTCGCTCGCTTTGTCTCGGGCAGCTTCCTCCCGGCCTCGGGCCATCAGGAGACTCCGCGTGCCCCGGACCCCACCAGTCCGGGTACAGCTGCCCGAAAACGTGCTGCCGAGGAGAAAAACGCCCCATTGTTCAAAACCAGCGGCAAGCTACAAATGACTATTATATTCCCATGTGAAAAACCTGCGGGGGAGCAGGCGTGCGGATGGACTGCAAACGCCCCACAACTGTCCTTCCCGTTTAAGTCCGGGTTTCCCGTGCTAAGAAGAAACGGAAGCGAGAGGCTTTTGTCTTACCTTGGCCCCGATCTGGTTGCCACATTGGCCGGCCTGGATGTGCACGATTTCCCTCATGGTCAAAATTAACTTGTTTTGCTCGCCTCCAGGAATATACGGGGCAAGAAAATATGTAGGCTTTTTTCTTTTGCTGGTCGCGGGCTGGAAGGATGGAACGTGCCCCGCAGGATGGAGCAGCGAGATCCGAACGCGACGGCAGGAAGATTCTGAGAGGCAGAGCAGAGGGGAGGGCGAAGGAGGGAAGGCGGGCAGGGCGGGGCGCGCGTGCGCGTGCGCGGGGCTAGGAGGCGGGAGATCTGCGCCCGCGCCCGGGTAGGAAGACAAAGCCTCTCCGAGCCGAGCCTTGATTGGTCAGCGCTGGTCATGTACCAGGCGCCCATTGGTGCTGCGCGGCGGCCGAGCGCAGTCCTCTCTGGGAGTTGTAGTCCTCTATTGTTGTCCACGCTGTAAAATGAACTTAGGAATGGGTGGGTGCTTGATTTTTTTCTTTTTTGTCGTTTTCTTATTTTTTAACGAAAAATGACCATGGTGAAAATTGCTTTCCTCCATACTGAAGTTTTTCTTTTTTCTTAATTTGCAAGCACAAAATATTTTGGGGGATACAGGAATTGGGAAGTCTGGAGAGCCGTGAGTTGGGAGGTGGGGTAGGCACGCCCTGAAAACTCCCCGCTGCGGAAGCTTTCGGGAGAAGACTACAGCTTAGCTCAGCGAAAACGCGACAAGTGTGGCACCCTGCTCTGGTACACAGCATCCCGTCCTTTGGTGACCCACGGCATGAACTTCAGAGAACAGTGGACCCCCCCACCCCACCCCCATACCTCAGGAAGAAGGACGCGATTGTCCTCCGGTTGCCTTGGGGTTTTTCGAGTGATACTGTTTCAATCAAAAGAGAAACAAAATTGCAGCACGGGGTTTTCAGAATAGAGATGTCTGCAGGGTTTGTTCAAAGAATGAGTTGAATATTTTAGAGATTCTGAGATCTAGAATTTGTGAAGCCAGACGTCTCCGTGCATTTAGGGACTCCGGGCCTTAGGACAGAATGTGAAGATTATTTGGTCATCTCATCAAAAGGGAACGATGTAGGTGAGATGCCCTGATAGAGTATTAGTGTTTTTCCAGCCTTCTCTTTCAGACACTTTGATGAGGTCGGTAGTTTTTCAGTGAGCTGATTTCACTGACCAGGAGTGGCCAATGTAGTCTCAGGATTTAAGGAGAAGAGGGGGTAAATTGGATGGGCAACACATCTCCTTCCCAGAATTCACTCATTTCAAAGATAGTAAGTGGCCACCGAAGCAATAAGCAAAAACACAAAATGATTAAAAATTAGCTCCTTGTCCTCTAGGATACTGCAGTTTGTTGAGAAAAGGATAAATAATGAAGGGGTGTTAAGCACTGTAATACAGCTGTGTTGCCAAGGTCATTGTTAATTCACACTAAATACACCCATGAACACACATTTGTACGTCGCTTAAGGGAACATTGAGTTCTGCAAGACCCTTACACTCATTTCAAGTAGAATCTTTTGTGTTGTAGGGGGCATGCCCACGATACAAGCAGTCATGTATTAATGGGAAAAGCTCGGAACTCAGGTGATTTGTGTTCAGTTTGTCTCTATCTTACATTAGCTACAGGAACCTACACATTTAACTTCCCATAGTTTTACAGATCTCGTTTGTAAGATCTACTGAAGCTATTTGGTTGTTGTGGAAATAGCTGAGATAATTATTAGGAAAGAGCTTCCTAGCCGGGCGTGGGGGTATATGCCTGTAATCCCAGCAGTAGAGAGGCTGAGGCAGGAGGATCCTTGCGAGTTCGAGGCCAGTCTGGACTACAAAGTGGACTCAAGTCCAGCCTGAACTGCATATCGAGACCCTGTCTCAAAAAGACAAATAAAAAAAAAAAAAAGGAAAGAGCTTCCTATATACACGTCACATTCTTACCATTCTTCTCATGTCTTGTTATGAAATAACGATTTTATCATTTTTCCCTCGTCCCTCGAAAGGTAAGGACTTTTACCAAACCAGTTTTCTGTTTGCCTACAAACATTTTCTTTAGGATTGCCCATTTAGGGGAAATGACCTCAAAATGTCCGTCAGGGCTATTTCTCAGGAATAACATGACTTCTACTAAACAAGCCAAATCAAAGCGAAATGAAATTCCACTGCAATGAGGAGTCCTCAAGCGCCACGCCTACGGGCTGTTTTCCAAACTGCAGCCTCCAGCCACGACTGCAACCGGCAATCCGCTTTCATTTCTCATGAGTCAGCGAACACCATGTCTTGGAGGACCGAAGAAGGACGCTCTGGCCACGTCAGACGCAGTGCATGACATCTATGGTACAGCCCTTCTAGCCGCGGCAAGCCTCGGGCGCCAGACTCTCTGGTAATGGATAGCAAATCTGCGCGGGAAGTGGGCGTTGGGCGGTAACCGGTGGTGGGTTGTCCTTGGAGTTGACCAATCACGATATGCTGCGGTTAACGGCTCTCAGTCGCCGGAACAGCCTGGACTTCGAGAGGAAGGGGGCGGGTTGGGACGGAGGGGGGCTTTGTGCCTGAACGCTTGAAGCTTCACCAATCAGCGCACAGCAAGCTGTGAAAGACACCGACAGAAGCCAATCAGCGCGTCGGCTCCTTTCGGCTCGGCGCTCGCGCCACCCTGGTGGCGACCGTTAGTGGTGGCGCGCGCGGAGACTCAAATAGGTGAGTTCTGGGGACCTCACCCGCGGTTCCTCCGCTACCATCTTGACTCCTCCAGAGGGCGGGAGGGGGGCGTGCCTTGGGTCCGACTGGGCGGAGGTAATTTGGAAATTTAGGTTGGAAATGAGCTTTTTAGAACGTGAGGGTCCTCCTTGCCCGGCGGCGGCGGCGCGCGGTGGGCGGGGGACACAGGGCGACGCGGGGCCGCGAGGGGGCCCCCTGCAGCGTGGGGTCGAGGA